AAAAAAAAAAAAAAAAAGATAAATGAATTGCCCATATAATAAAATAACCACTTCACAATAAAAAACAACAAGCTATTGAGATATATAATATGAATTAACTCTAAAAGCGCTCTGCTAAATGAAAGAATCTGGTCACAAAAAAATTATGCCATATGTCTTGCTTTATATTACATTCTGGAAAAGGCAATATTACAGGAATAAGGAAAAGATCAGGAGTTGCCAGAGTTAAGGAAGAAGCATGGGAAAATTGGTGGGGGGGTATAAAATATTGTATTTTTTAACTCTGTTGTTTCACTGTATAGGTTTGTCAAAACTCAATGAATTGTGTAAGGAATTTTACTCTGCTATGTGTAAATTATATTCAGCAGAATATAATTACATTCAAAAGATGCAATAATAAAAACATTTTTATACTGTCACACAAATTTGTACATGCATGTTCACAACAGCATTGTTAATAACTCTTAGGTGAAAACAACCAAAATATCTGTCATTGAGTGGATGAATAAACAAATGTGGTAGGTATATTCATAACAATAAAATATTCAGTCGTAAAGGGAGTAAAATATTGATACTTGCTACAACACTGGTGAACCGTGAAAAAAATTGTGCTCTGTGAGATAAGTTAGTTACAAAGGTCACATATTACAAGATTCAATTTTTATAAAACATCTACAATAGGAAATCTATGGAGACTGAAAGCAGCTCAGTGATTGCATGAGCTGGAGGCTTGAAGCAAATGGGGTAACTATTAAAGGCTATGGGATTCCATTTCAGGATGTTGAAAATGTTCTAAAATCAATTGTTCTTAAGTGTTCTAAAATTCAGTACTGGCTGCATGACTGTTCATTAAAAGATAACAAATTGTATCCTTTAAATGGATGAACTCCTTGCTATATGAATTAAATCAACAAACATTTCCATGTCTTCTCATTCTCTAATTACATGTAAACTTCCTTCCAAGTTGCAAGGCCTTGTAGGAACACTTAGCTTATTTTTGCAGCCCCATCTCATCTCACATACATCCTTTTTGCTTACTACTCTCTACATGCACACTGATTTCCTAGATACCAGAATTTTTAACATGCTAAGTTTGTTCTTACTTTAGGATCTTTGCATGTGCTGTTATCTTAAAAAAAAATTAGTACATATAGAAGAGACCCAGAACAGAAAAATCAATCCTGGGCAAAAAGAATAAAACAGGAGGCATCACAATACCCTGACTTGAAATTATATTACAAAACAACAATAATAAAATTGTTGGACCAGGGATATAGCTCAGCAGCATAGTAACTGTCTGGCAAGCAACAAAGTCTTGAGTTTGATTCCTGGTACACAAACACACAAAAGTCACGGTATTGGTATAAAACAGACAAGGTATTCAGTAGAACAGAACAGAGGATATGTGAACATTCTCGGACTCATTTAGCTATTTGATCTTTTTTTTTTGCGGAACCAGAGATTGAACTCAGGCCCTTGCGCGGCAAGCGCTTATTCTACCGAGCCATCTCCCTGGCCCCTGATCTTTGAAAAAGAATCCAAATATAGGTTGGAGGAAAAAAAACTTACTTAACAAATAGTGCTGAGAAAATTGGCTGTTTGTTTTTGCTTTCTAAAATGCTGCTCTTTCCGTTCAAGTGGTTGGCTCATGTTGTCCTAGCTGAAATGCCAGTTTCCCATAAAAGCCAATTTTAAAGACATTAGCAAGAGTAGTACTCTTCATTCCCTCCCTATTACTTAATCTTGTCTTCAAAGCCCTTTGCACAAGCTTTTTTTAAAAAAATCTTTCTCTACAGGAGAATACCTTTATAAGGGCAGGAGTATTTATCCTTTGCTGTATTTTTAGCACTTACAAAAGCCTGAACCTATACAAGATGCACAATATATGTTAAATAAACAAAGGTGTAAATCTTCTAAAGAAGGTTACCATAAATAGGATGAATAGCATTTCTTTAATATTTTTATTTTTTGATTATATTTATGAGATAGTGTGATAACTATATATATTATATCATACATAATATACATAATTATGGTAATTAAAATTTCCATCTCCCTAGATATTTTTAATTTCTTCATGTTGTACAGATTTATCTATTTGTTAAAGTGGTTGTTCTTTCTAATTTGTATGCCATACACGTAACAATTGTCCATCTAGCTGTTAACTTGAAAATAATCTTCATAGATATATGAATGTAATTTTAGATAGCTTATTATTTTTCAAGAGAAATTAACATGACTTCTACACTCTTCTACACTCTTTCTTGGAAGGAATACATTCAACTGCTCTCACTATCACACTACCAGTCTATGATTCTTCAGAGCATTCATCTATCAAGAAGGACACCATTTGAGCTACCCAAGAGAGGGGTATTATTAGGAAGGATTATATGAAGCTCCGGTACAAATATAAAGAGTAGATAAGATACCTAGGTGAACAGGGTTGCTGCCTATGTCAAAACCTGGGTACACCTCTCTTAATAGTGAAAGGAAGCTGTTAAGGTTAGTTCTCATAGTGTTACTTGAGTTTCATATTTCTTAGAACCTTTTATACTTCTGCTTTCACCTGATATACTTGATTATTTATGAAACTCAAAACAACTTTTTTTTTATTTTAGAGGGCTTTAGGCATACAACTAATCACTCACTGTTTTTCTAGAATCTCTAATTGGTATGAAAAAAATACTGTTTTCTGTTAATGTTTAAATTACTTCAAGACAAATACCTATCCAATGTTTCCATGATATGGCAAAAGCTTATCTGCAAAAGAGTTGTGAAACATTTGATGGTAACAATATGTAACATAACAACCATTATTAATTTCCTCTTCTTGTTTTGAAATTCTGTACCACTTTTATTGTCTTATGGTACTGTTTTTGTCTTTGTCCTTGTTATTTGTTTTTGTTTCTTTACTCTTTAAAATAATTTTTTTTTTAAAAAAAAGTGCAATACTGTTGGAAGGGGCCGGGGAGATGGCTCAGAGGAGTAAGTGCTACCCTTGCAAGCGCAAGGGCCTGAGTTCAATCCCTGGTTCCGCAAAAA